CACCGGGTGCAGCTGCCTTAGCAGTTCCCTGCTTCAGCTTGCAAGACTGACTTCCTACAAGACATCCCCAAGGAGAAGCCACGTGGACCTATCCCGATGCAGCCCTGGGTGCTGGAGCAGCCGTGTGGAGACCCCTGCTAGTGCTGAGATGCTTGTTCATTCACTGACTCAGCTTTCCTCCTGCAGTCGGCATCATTGCCTCTGTTTTGTGAGGTGGAGGACTTTGTGGACTGGTGTTGGGTTAATGGGTTAATGTTGGACTTGTGGGCTTAGGCAGCACTGGGTTGGGATGTTTTCATGATGCACATTTTATTTACATAAAACTCTCTCTTATACATGAGTCGCTATGGATTTGTTTCTCCAGAGTACCTAGACTAATACAGGTAACTTGACAATCATTTACTATTAGCTGCAAGCAGTGTCCTAAGTCTAACATATATTTGGGAGAAATCTTTCTATTTCCCACACTCCATGTTCTTCTAGCCCAACAAACAGGACGCTGTGCACTTGCCAATACCCCCTGCTGCTTTAAACACTTCAGCCGGAGTAGAACAAGCCATCACACAGGTCAACAAAAATACCACTTGGCTTCAACTACGGCCATGTCAAACCCCTTTCATCTAAATATTTTCAGCTTCCTATCCTTAGGGATTAGATTATACATCAGATTAATGCTGTTATATGGTCTAATGATACTTGTGGTTATTATCATTATAATGATAGCAATTAAATACTATGTAAAAACCACTACTGTTTTGACCCTGAGAACAAATATTTTACCATGAAGTGGCTCTTGTACATAGATAAAACTTAATCACGACCAATGATAGGACACAGAGAACTAATATATTACCAGTGAAGGGGCTCATGTACATGGATAAAACTTAATCATTGATGAGTTTGAACTCTTACTCTAAAAGTATCCTAACAGCTAAGTTGTCCCTCTAACAGTGTCCTTCTCCATACTAACCTTTCCTGAAATATTCCTGAAGACTGGGTACAAAATCTAAGCATGGTCAAAACAGTGGATGGCACCTGACCATTAAAAATTACTCTCTTGGATCTTTAAAACTTTCACTGAAAAGGTCATTCAAATAAGGGATCCATGTGGAAGAAAGCACATTATCTTGGGTGTGATTAAATTTAATAGAAATCCTTGATCAAAAGGATGGAATGTATGAAAGTCTACAATCTGAGAGATTGTAAATCTCTAAATGGAGCCATAACTCCATCCTAAACCTTGACATTAACCCAGAAACATGTTTAATTTAACTTTTTATTGAACTGTAAAGTTCCTTTTTCTAACAGTGGTTCCTCCCCCACCCCTTCCCCTGTGCGGAACCTCGGTGCCAATTTCACAATATACTTTAAAGGAAATATTTTTTCTCTGTTGTCGGAAAGACGTAAGAGGTCACAGTTTTCCCTCAGGGGTCTTTCCTCTATGATCAAACAGAACAGGACGTGATAGTCTGCTCAAAGGCACAGCATTATTGGCCAGTCTTACATGCACTCTCAGGAAAAGCCATGATAGGGGAAAATCACAAGCTCCTAGACAAGCATGTCCTGGATTTGTTCTGAGGAGCCCTGCTGGCGTAGGGAGTTACACATTGGGCTGCTAGCTGCAAGGGTATAAGTAGGACCCAGCAGCTGCTCTCTGGGAGAAAAACGAGGCTTTCTGCACCCATGAAGATTTATAGCCTTGCAACCCCCTGGGGCAGCTCTACAGGGTCCCAATGAGTCAGAACCAACTCATGGCAGTGAGTAGTTTGGTATGTTGTCCTGTGCCTATCTGTAAATACCTGAACATTACAATTACGTACTGTAAGGTAGTCGAGAGACGCCAGAAACCAAATCAGTCGAATTAGAACATACAGGCTTTATTAGGGAGAAAATCCCCCAGCCTGGGCGAAGTCCCACAGTCCACACTGTCCGGGCTGGAGGAGTCGCATTGCAGGCTACAGGGCTGCTGCTTATATGGACAGGTATATCCCGATTTCTGGAATGTAAGGTGTCTTCCTGGTTCCGGGTGTATACGTGCAGGGTGCAGAGTGGTGGGCAAGAACAAAGTGGGCACTGAGCCAAATGGGCCATGCAGGTGCTGGGTGCACAGCGGCGGGTCGAGAACAAAGCGGGCCATTAGCCAGCTCTGGTCAGCTCCGCAGGTGTGTGTGGGAGATTCAAGGCCACTTGCTGCTAGTTGTTTCAGCTAGCTCTGGTCAGCTCCACATGGGTGGGGGAGACTCAAGGTCACTTGTTGCTAGAAGTCAGCATGGTATTGATCCGGCCATACATGTACCTTCTTCCACCATGTGATCCCCACATTGACCCACTCATCCCCACAAAGCCCTTGCTTTCGGATATCCTGATTTTAGGGTGTCAATTGTCTTTCAGCCAACCATAACATTGTCGTTTCAGTTCCTGCTTGGACTTTAGATGAGTGTTGCTCTAAGGAGGGACCACCTTTACTCTGTGAATTTGGAGATTTTCCCCAGTCTGAACTCTCTCTGGACTTTCAATACATCTCTTTGATTGTGTTTTTATAGAGCCTGCATTTTCATTCTAGGACAGTCCTCTTACGATCCCTGATATATTTTGTACTGAGAGGGAGCGTGGAACAGGAAAGTCAGGGGTCCTGAAGTCTCTCAACACAGTCAAACAGCCACAAGAGTCACAGAATTGCCAGACCAGATCTTGGTTGTAACCTGGGTTCTAAAGGGAACTTCCAGGAGCTAGGTCCCTCTCTGAGATTCTCCATAAGAAGTACAATGAGCTTGAGCTGGCAAACCGATGAAGGGCTCTTCATCTCTAACAAAGAGCCTTGGGAGAACATGGTTAAGCACTTGAGAGCTGTCTGAGACCCATGCTCCCTGGGAGGAGATTGGGCCACCTGTTGCTTATTTTTTGAAATTAATAAATCATTTTACTGGGTGCTCTTACAACAATCAAACACATTTGTACATACGTTGTTTTCATCATTTTGGAAACATGTTCTTTCTGCTTGAGCCCTTGGTATTAGCTCTCCTTTTTTCCCTCCCTCCACACCCTCACGGACCCCTGATAAATTATTATTTTCATGTCTTGCACTGTCCGTTCTCTCTTCGCCCACTTTCTGTTGTTCACCTCCTCCCTCCCTGGGTGTGTGTGTGTGTGTGTGTGTGTGTGTGTGTGTGTGTGCCTGTCAGTCATTGTCGTCGGTTCCCTGGGCCTCCTGCTTCTGTAAGGATGTACAGTCTGGGAAACCATTGGCAGTTCCACGTTGTCTATATGGTTGCTCTGAATCCGAATCTACTTGACAGCAGTGGGTTTGGGTGGGTGGGTTAGCTCTAATATGATTTTGTTCGTATTAAGCAAGCATACTTTAGATGTGCCCTGAGTTCAAATGTGACACCAAGTTTCCCACCCTAACTCCACTTCTGAAATCTATAATCTCAATAGTAAAGATGAAGTCTCCCGCCCAGGAAAAAGACATGGGAGAAATCACGGGGTCACCACTAAAATCCCAAAGCCCTCCTTTAGAGACCCATCTTGAGTTCTTGTTTTGGATCAACTTGTATGATGCTCTGCAGACAGACTTTCTCTGGGGCTCCAGTCCCCAAATTGCAGCCGGCAAGTTGGATTTTAAAAATAACGAACCACTTATGAACCCTGCTTATGAACCGCGAGGGAAAAAAACTGGGCTTTCTACCCCAGTAAACAGCTACGGTCTCGAAAACTCACAAGAGCCGTTCTACCGCGTCCTACTGGCTCGCTAGCAGTGGGCATCCCCCTCCATGGCGGCGTTTGGTTTGGTTTTGGGGTGACCTTCGCAGAGGGTCCTGGGGCGCGCCTCCCGTTCCTCCCGC